TGTCACAGTGAGGATGTGCTGAGCCGTGTCCTCCCGGTCCAGCGCCCTCACAGTCACCAGCTCGTAGTAATTCTTATAGGCTGGCCGCAGGGAGAAGAAGAGCTGATGGTCGAGGGCACAGGACACCTTGCCGTTGGCACCGGCATCCCTGTCCCTGACAGTAAAGAGGGCAACCACCGTGCCGGGCGCGGAGTTCTCGGCGAGGGGACTGCTGAAGGAACTGACCAGCAGCTCGGGTGCATTGTCATTCACATCCAACACCTCCACCAACACCTTGCAGATTGCCGAGAGGCCCCCACCATCTGTGGCCCTCACACTGAGCTCATGAGTCTGTGCTGCCTCAAAGTCCAGAGGCTTTGTGAGTTTAATTTCTCCCGTTATGGAATCAATCTCAAACGCTGAGTCGCTCTTGCCCACTCCTTTGCTTAATTGGTAGGAGATGTCCCCATTAAGTCCTGAATCCCGATCTGTTGCCAACACACTCAGAACCACAGAACCCTCTGGTACGTTTTCCAACACCTTCACGTCATACTCCTTCTGTGTGAAGACTGGAGCGTTGTCGTTTGCATCCAGAACTGTAATGTGAATTTGGGTTGTCCCACTCCTGGGTGGAGAGCCCCCATCCACAGCAATGAGACTAAAATCCATCTCTGCCTGCTCCTCTCTGTCTAGGGGCTTTTCCAAAACAAGTTCTACATATTCCTTGCCCCTAATCCCACTCTGATAGGAGACACTAAAGTATTCGTTCTCGGGAACAATACTGTATGCCTGCACACTGTTGCTGCCAACATCAAAGTCCAGAGCAACCTCTAGAGGAAATTGAGAGCCCGGATCGCTCGTTTCGGGGATCTCAAAAGTGACTCTTTCCTCGGGAAAAACCGGCGCATGGTCATTGATATCCTCGAGGGTGACCTCGACCCGAAAGAACTGCAGCGGGTCGGCCAGCAGCAGCTCGAAGGGGAGCGTGCAGGTGTCGGCCTGGCCGCACAGCTGCTCCCGGTCCAGCCTGTCGGCCACGACGAGGCGGCCGCTGGCGCGGTCGAAGCGAAAATGCTGGCGGCCGTCCTCCGACACCAGGCGGGCG